GTTGCAGTGACGCGCCCGTGAGCTCAGCCAGCTGTGCCTGAGTGACCGAGCCCCAGGCCGAGAGGCCGGGGGCACCCCACCTCCGAAGTGGCCCGAGCAAGCCCCAGGCTCCAGGCCCTGATAAGCAACCACCAAGGAGTGAGCCGGTGTGTACCTGGACGCCCACCCCCGGACACAAAGAACCACCAACGCACCGATGTCTGAGGGAGTCCGCCACTGGCAGGGGAGTGGTGGGGGGAGATAGGCCAATTTATTTAACCATGATATTTGACGTTTGATTAAGAGTGCAAAATAGTTGTTCTAGAAAGATTGGTTTATCTAACATCCTAGCTTGTGTTATTGTAGGAAGAAATGTAGTACTGATCAATATCTTTGAATACCTCTTATCTTTTAAGAGGTGTTTAAGTTCATATAAAACTACATATCACTTCTACATATACAAAATACAATACTATATATATGTATATACATGTAGAATTAGGCCAAGGCTTCCCTGCTGAGTCCTTGATTATTGGGATGTAGTTTTTTCTTCGTTTTGCATGTTTGCCAGATATTTACAAGATGTACTATTGTATTCACATTTGTCATGTCTCAGGTGCTGTAGAAGAAATTGTGCCATTAGCTCATTTTCCTAAATCACTTAGAATAAGTTCAGGTTGCATAGATTATTTCTAGTGATTTTATTTTCTCTTGCAAAATATTTTTAAATTCTGTGTCTTTCTTCTTTGGTAGGATGAGCATAAAATGATCCTGCCCATTAAAACAGCTTTCCCAGAATAAGATTGGGGAGGCATTTGGAAAACAGCTTATATCTATGTCTACTCCCTCTTGAAAATGATTGAAGTCCTTTCGCAGAGATGTGTTAAAACGCCATCTGGTGGATTATTTTTGTTTAAGTTTGTCATTAAGCGTAAAAGAGACAGGAGCGTGGTCATTAACCGCTCTTGAGTGGATTTGTGTTTCTGATTTATTCTAGATGAAGACAGTTGTTGGTTAGGAAAAGAAATTCTCAGTGAGGAATGATGGAGTTGAGAGAAGTGTTCTTGATCATCTGATGCAACCTCCAGCCATCACAATGGCCATACTCTTCTATGTATTGTTTTAAAATGACAGTGAATTGCGCTGTACTATTCATGAATTCAATGGGGAGACAGTACAACTGGACCAGCAGCAGTGTGACATGAGAGCACTGAGAAGATTTAGTCCAAAGCCTTGCTGCAACATCCTGAAGAACCTGAATATGTTCCAGAGAACTTTTGCATTTCTATCGATTACTGAGAATATGAATAATTTTGGACATGACACTTTTTGCTCAAATGTAAATAAAAGCTAAAAGAAATTCACACAATGTTGCTTCTTGTCTTATTATCTTTTGGAAGATGCCTGTGTCATTTCCTGTATAAAAAAACAAACAAAACTTGCTGGTTGAATAAAAGTAACTTCAAGATAAAATTTGCCAGAGTAACTCTGAGCTTGACTGTATATGATCATCAGGTGATAAGCAATAATGCAGCTGTCAAATGGCTCATCCGGTCACTGTTCCTGCTGCTGTGTTTCAATTTGATCAGAACTGAAGGTGACATGTGGGAGTAAAACCTGAAACCAGCATCGTGTAATGACAGGCGGTGTGTCTGAAGTAATGTCTACATTTTGTAGCAGCAAGGTCAAAAGGCAACATTCTACATCATTAATGTAGCTGCCTCTAATTATTGCCCTGAATTGGTTGCGACTCAGTTTGTCAAGGTCTCTTAGCACTGATGCATCCATGATCCACCATGCAGCATGTGTGTCTGCAAACCAATTGAACTACTTGAGCGTTTGTACTTGACAGCTGCTCAGGCACCTACTAATGAATGAAGTAACTGATCACCAGAGGAGCAAACTGAAGACGGAATGACATCGTGGAAAATCAGAATTACACATCCTTCAGTAGGAAAGCACAAGGTTTCGAATGGTGGTTGTGACAGAGTACAGGCCCACTTCTCAACATGTCAGCTGCTGACTGACATGGTCCTCTGTGTACCCACTTTTAAATCATATGATCACCAGAATGGCATACAACAAAACATGCATACGTTGTTACGAATGCTTGAGTGAGAACATTTGCAAAGAGGAATGAAACATATATATCTCATATTCAGTTTTAGGTCATTAACTTCACAGCAATCGTTATGGCTTTTTATTATGATAAAGAGCCTGAAATATTGTCCTCATGATGAAGGACTTACAAATCACACTTCTTTCTAAGATTTGGCCAAGAATTTGTGATTTTATTATTAAAATTAGAAAATAAATAAATCTGGCGCTTAGGTTCCCATATCGTCATCAACAACCTCTACACTCTTTAAATAATTTTACACCTAGATTTAAACTGGGAACATATCAGATTAAATTCGATACTACAGAATTAGATACTACAAAACCTTCTCTGCCTAAACTGCACTCTTAGACACAAATGACACAAACTTCTGGGTTTAAAGCACATTTAGGAAAACAGCCAGGGTCTGGTTAAAATCTAGCCAGAGCTGCAGCTGTTGGACTAAAGGTATTACAGTATGATGATCATTTATTTGCCCCCTCGCTGATTTCTTTTTTAAATTTTTCTTTCATATTATATTACACAAAAGCAAATAAGCTAGTTGGCCCTATTTGAAAAAGTAATTGTTCTCAAGCATGGCTGCCTGTTAAAGGTTATGCAAGAGCATGTCAGTCTTTGACTAGGCCATTTCAGAACCTTCATTTTGGATTTTGGAGTCATTCAGAGGTGGACTTGCTGGTGTGTTTCGGAACATTGTCCTAGCTGGATGTTTCTTCCTGTTAAAAGAGAGTTTTTCCATCCCACTGTCACTAAAACACTTGTTTATAGGAGGTCATGTCATGGCTGGATCTTCTTTGTATTATTTTATAGTCTTTACCTTGGAATGTAAAGCGCCTTGAGGCAACTGTTGTTGGGATTTGGCACTATGTTAGAATTGAACTGAATTGAGTTAAACCTTCCAAAAAGTTAAACTTTTATCCACAGTTCACAAGTCCACAGAATATTTTCCTAAAAGTCTCAGGAATCATCACAGATGCGAGACGAGCCTTGTTTTTTTTTTTTTTTTTGACAGCAGTGGTTTTCATGTTTTCGCTGGAGGAAAACGTGTAATTGACTCCAAATTGTCCATGTAAATGAGTCCTATACACACACTAAGGTTAATTATGGAGTTCCACAGAATTCCACGTAAGGACCAATTCTGTTTACATTATACACTCTTCCTGTAGTCCAGTGGTTCCCAAACGTTTTTTGCTAGGGCCCCCTTTGTTTGACGAAAACAACACATCCTCCAACCGCACACGCCCATATTTTGCTCCACTGCGGTTTATTTCACACCTCAAACATTTAGTAAACAATTAAGCAAATGCAAGTAAACAGCAATAAATTACAGGTAGTAAGAAAATAAACTACTAACTCTTTTACACTGCGTTAACACCCACACAGGTTTTTTTAAAAACGCAGCTGTTTCTGTGTGTTTGGACCTTTCGTCCACATAAACGTGTTTCAAATCACAGAAAACTGAGATTTTTTAAAACTTATTTTTTGCCTTTACGTATGGAGTTTGTAACACAACATCAAAGGTATGCGCCTTTTATCACGTCACGCTGTGGCCACATTATTGTTTACATGAGATGAATTGCAGAATGGCAGATAGAGACAAAATACTGTGATTCTGACTGTCTGCAGGTTTTACACGCAGTTACTGTCCCTCCATTTACAAAGGCAGAGGCGTCATGGTGTCATTATTTTACTGTAGTTGTTTTTTCCTGTGTAATAATATTCAACATTGCTGTCAATACATTTTTCACTCCCTCTGCAAAATAGGTTCAAAAACATAAACAGCTGTGGGATCCTGTTTGTCCGGGATTTGAACCGAGGGAACAAATAATGGCAGGATCAGCCTGATGTTATTTGTATCCCGCTGTAACTTTACTGTATAAAGAGCAAACATCTCCAAAATGTCAGGAGTAGTTAGTCATTACAACAAGTGTTTGTGAAATAAAAATCACGAATGTGGGATCCTGTTTGTCCGTGATTTGAACAGCCCAGTGCTGCTCCCGACGAAGGGAAAACCAACCCTGCAGGGAGACCTACCTCGGCACCTGTGCAGGTGAAGCCAAAGGGCAGATTTGCTTCATTATATTTTCTAGTCTTTGGCTTAGAATGAAGTTGGTTTGGAAACATATTCAGCGACGCTTCATCTCCTGCTTTGCGTTTGTGTGGGCGCCCCAAAAACCTGTCCGTTATGCTAGCAGTGTCCAAGCATTCTTTTTGTCTTTTCTTTTCATACCGCGCCCCCCCTGCAATGGCTCTGCGCCCCCCTAGGTGGCGGGCCCCACACTTTGGGAACTTCTGCTCTAGTCAGTATCATTTGAAAGCATAGCATATATTTTCACTGCTATGCAGATGATCCCTGGCTTTTTCTATCCATGAACCCAGATAATACACACCAAGTTGTTAAATCGGAAGAATGTCTTAAAGACCTAGATATGACCTCTACTTTCCTGCTTCTCAATTCAGATAAAACAGGTTATTTGTACTTAGCCTGGATGGCATTACCTTACACACTAGTGTCAGAGGTGGGTCGAGTATCCAAAAATTGTACTCAAGTAAGAGTAGCATTACTTTAAAATATTATTACTCAAGTAAAAGTGAAAAGTAGTCGTCAACAAAGTTACTCAAGTAAGAGTAAAAAAGTACTTGGTGAAAAGACTACTCAAGTAGCGAGTAACTGTTTGAAATGTCCGATTTATTTTTTCAATAAATGTTACCAGACAAACAAAAATAAATAAATATACAAATTTTACTATTTTCAACAGGAATATATGTAAAAACATCAACAAAATAAGGCACAATGATTCTAATTTCCAGATTTCAGTTTTTCACAACATAAAGCTTTTTTCACCAATACCTGCAGTAAATAATATAAATATATAAACAGTGCAAACAATTTCCAGTGACAAGATATGCTGTAAACTTTATATTCATCTTTGCTCCAAATGGCACAGCAGCCTCAGAGAAAACAGAACGAGGCATCTTCATCATATGTACATACAAGGCAGCTCAGTTTACCATAAATTGTATAAGTGTGCATCTATTTCTGCATATTTAGCAAAAATGTGCCCTTTCTTCACTCAGTGAGGTGATGGTTAAGCTTCAGCAGCAGTGAACAGGAGTCCAGCATGACTGAGAAGTCCTTCACAAGCTCCTGATGCATGAAGAGCTGTATTGACTTTGATCAACAGCTTCTTGATGTGAGGAACGCCATGCAATAGATCCACACCTCCAGTGAATGGACATGAAAGGTACCTCTCCAGCTCCCCTGCTTCTGGCTTTCCTGACACCATGGATCCATCATCTTCGTCGGTTAGGCCGCTGTCTGTGCTGGCCTCATCCAGCTCTGAGTCTAGGTGATGTCTGATGAAGTGGAGACCTGTGGAAAGATGTAAGGTTTTCAAAAGAATTAGGTCTGGTCAATACCCAGATAGCAAGGAAACATTGAAACAATGTTGAGTCAATATCAGGCTGTGTCATTGAATCAACGTTGAAGTGTGACGTTGACCTAACGTCACTCTTGCACCCTTTTTTAACGTTGAAACAACGTCAGGTTTTGATGTGGAATCAATGTTGAAACCTGACGTTGATTCAACGTTATATTTTCTAATACTGCTGACATTGAAACAATGTCAGATTCTGATATTGAAACACTGTTGAGCTATGGTGTTGATTTTCCACCTCTTTCGCACAGTTGCTTTTTATTAAAACAACAGTTAAATCATGACTGGAAATCTACCTTCCTTTATAGGTATTTTAACCAATACTAAACTACTGCATGTTTCCATCAATACTTAAACCACCTAAACACATAATTGTACTTATTCCTTAAATTGGACACCCTTTATAAAAAAAAACCAAATGTCTCACAATGTATCATGTCAATATTAATATCCTAAAATAAGAAAGCATTGCATGTGATGTAACAGAGAAAAAACATAAACAAAAAAAGGTCAATAGGCATGTTTCGTTTGCTAAATACTTTATTAAAAGACAGTTTCCTATTTACGTTTATATGATTCACAGAAGTTTGTAATTTTTTGCATGATGTGCGTCCTGCACCACCCAAACGATCTGGGGCGTATCGGAGCCATTTCTGCACTGCTTGTGCAAAGACTAACTCGGACATAGAGTTTGCCCCTAACTGCTGCGTCAGGCTCCAATCAAGGCAAAGCGTCTCACCTATAGACACATTTTAAGAGATGGAATTAGCGTGTCTCATGTCTTAAATGTGTATGCAAGTGCTTGTGTGTTTAATCAACAGGCCGTTGTTATGTATTTAAATCACATCTGACAGCTATTACACTTTATAGTTACAAAGTGTACATAACCTTTATATACTTACCATTGCCTTATTTGCCTCTTGTGATTGAAGAGCTGGCTCTGCATTGTTTAGCTCCTCAATGTTGTGCAAGGGCAAATCCAGAGGCAGTACCCCAGCATCTACCGATTCATTGCAGCCGGTATTGCGGATGGCTCTGACCTCCTCACGGAGTTCGTTAACAGCTCTCGTCAGGTCTGACAGAAAAAGATAATTTTTTTTTAAGTATTTAAGAATACAGACAACTTATCAAACGTTTCCTTGTGTCACACACAGATATGTGACACTAGACAGTATTTTATTACCTGGTACTTTCACTCGAGGGGCCTGGGGAAACCATTTTTTTGTGGGCTGCTCATCCTCTGAGTCACTATATGTGTACAGGGGATTTGGTCTAAAGAAAAAAAGTTGAAAATGGTCATAAGTAATTACAAATGTGCTTTTGGAATATTTTTTCCTAAAGTTACAGTTTGATTTATAACAACACACACAGGAAACGGAGATGTGCAAGAAGGTACAGTATACAAGGAATTTTTTGAAGTGCACAAGTGTATACGGCTTTGCATTTATAAAAAGTTTACAAGCTTCCACTTTTTGGACTATATTATGTGGTGATATTGCAGTATGCAAGCACCACAGATATGTATAAAAGACAAGATCATAAATTCTTAGCAATCAAAGATATGTTTGTGAAATAAAAAAAGTTTTACTTGTGCTTTCTTTTATGACTGGTCTGAGTTTCAGCTTCGGACTGAAGGTCAGACGTATCACAGTGTTCAATTAGATATTTCTGAAGACTGCGTTCTGCTTCGTGAAATGTGTCTGGAAGTACAAACACAATGTATGGCCAGACATAAATTAGGACACGAAAAACTTGTTATTGTTACATTTATACAACACCAATCCAGATGATACCCACCATGGCTTATTAGAAGTCGGACTGGTGCATAGGTGAGCCATGTTGCACCAGGATGAACTCTCCTCTTTACTGCGTCGTGGATCCTGAATGTGTCTCACGGAGGATATGGAGGCCATGACAATTTCTCCCCATTTATCCATGATCTAGGGACTATTTCTGTACCACCAGTGCTAAACTGCACAATGCACCAGTCTTTCATTTTTATCTTTTTTTTAATTTGGAGTCCTTTTTTGCCCTGTCTAGGATAAACAGGAAACAGATAATTACAATATATTTCATAGTCACTACAAAACTTGATCTATTGATTGAACTAGTGCTGTATACACTACTAAGCTGCAGATGTTTGTTTGGAGCTAGCCTCCAAAAACTGGCCATACACTGTGTGATTTTTGGCCCATTTTGAGACGATTTTTCAGTCGCGCAACCGTTTTGGGGATCGGCCCGAGCTTTGCCTTAATCGTGTGTGCATCATGTAGTATACATGGGGTAACAAAAAGCAGTTACCACCTCACGACCAGCTCCCAATCATCAATCGTATGGTCACATGATAATCAAACCTGTTTGAAATCCTGTCGCCCCTCAACGCAGCCTCTCACACTGCACACGCACAAACACAGAATGTGAAAAGTGTTCGTGCAATATACCTTTCACGTTTCAAAAATATAATATCACGTTTGTACAATATAATATTAATATTGTAAGAACGTGATAATTATGTATTTTGTACTAACATGAAAAGTATATTGTTAGAACGAATAGTTATATCTATAACTTCTGTTCCCTGAAGGAGAGGAACGAGGTGCATACATAAGTACGGGATATCACGCCCTCGCATGTCCTGGCTGAAGAAACCTTTATTCACGCCTTTAAGGCAGATGACGTGTGATGACACGCGCACGGCCCCGCCTGCACATATAGCCGCTGTCATCACAGTCATCAGTTCGATAGCTGCTCTTCACCGAGCCAAACTGCTCAGTGGGCCCACCTTGTGTTGTACCTCGTTCCTCTCCTTCGGGGAACAGAAGTTATAGACATAACTATTCGTTCCCTTTCAGTCGATTCACTCGGTACAACACATAGGTATGGGACATATATACACGCCCCGCAGAGCAGCCACCGAACCGGAATCGGACCACCACATCCTTAGTGAGTGGTAGACCCAGCAGAAAGGACAGCATGAGCCACCGAAGGGACTGTAACGTCCAACCGATAAAACCGCACAAAAGTGTGCGATGATGCCCAACTAGCTGCCGCACAAATATCAGCCACAGGCACCCCTTTAAAAAGAGCCCATGAGGTTGCCATCCCCCTGGTGGAATGAGCTCTCACCATCATTCTCTCCATTATTTTGCAGACGTTGGATGTTAAAGCTGCTGGTCTGTAGTTTCCAGGCTTTGTCCTTCCCTGGTTTACGTATCGATATTATCACTGCCTCCTTCCAGCTTTGTGGCAACTTCCCTCCCTCCCAAACTCTATTAAACACTTCTTTTTATTTTATTTTATTTATTTATTTATTTATTTTAGAAAAAACACCTGTTGAGAAAGAAAAAAGAGAAAACAAGCAGAAGGAAACAAAGAGCAACAAAATAAACAACATCACGATGATCTATGCCAGGGGCGTCAAACTCAAGGCACACTTTAGGTCGGGGGCCAAACAAGATAAACATTTATTGAACACACTAAAACTGTTTTTTTTTAAAACATAAATATGAATAAAAACAGACAGGAATATAATTCCAGATTAAATAAACTTAAAAAAAACAACTTTAAATATCCTGTCAAAATTATGCAAGTTAGAAATATGAACATGCTGCCAAAAACCCCAGAAAAAGTAAATGAAAGCAAACACAAGGTTGGAGCCGCATGTAGACGGAGCTGGGCGTTGCTGCAGGAGTGGAGCTAATAAACTGTGCGGCCATTCAGTGTCGTACTTTCCCTGAGTGCATCATTACACTGCAGCTGCATCTGAATCTGCACAGGTGCAGCTCAGCAAAGTGCGCTGACTTGGTTCAACATTACTTGGCAACAGGGGAAGTGAGGCAGGCTGCACTGGTGCATTAGTGACAGCTTGAAACGCCTTCACCGCATCATACATGTCCATGAACTGACAGGTTTCCTTGCTGAGCTCAAAAACTCTATTGAGAACTTTTATCCCAACTCAGCCAGCGGAGCTCTGCATGAAGGAATGTGGGCAAACTGTGAATCTATTTCCCACATAAAAGACTGAAACTGACGGTGACTTAAACTTTTAGCTCAGATAAAATGTACGGTCTGCGTCACGGTGATCATTACATGCTCCATTTTTAGGACCACACAGCCTTTCCTGGTGTGTGATGCGGTGATATGCTGATAACTCACCGGTACATTTCTCCTGCATCTTTACTCGCATCCTGCTGACTACTTTTTTCACCGCACAGCACCGGCGCTCCATCTGTTGTAAGTCCAACAAGTTTGTCCCAGGACAGTTTCACGTCGTTACACTTTGACATACGTTTTAAAAAATGTATTTTCCTGTCGTTGTCCTGTGCATCGATTTAATGTTCAATATTTCCTCTCCATGGATGAAGATGGCCAGCTGTGCAGTGTCCATCATGTCTGTACTTTCATCCACAGCAAGAGAGTATGCAGTGAAGTTTTTGCTTCTTTCACACAACTGTGTTCTTAAATCAGTGACCGTCTCACAAACCCGATCAGCAATCGTATTTCTGCTCAGGCTCACATTTGCCTAAATCTGCGTTTTGTCTGGACGGAAGACGTCACACAGCTTCATCCTGCAGCTCTTCAGAGTGGTACCGGGCTCATTTGGCTCCTCTGCTACAATAAAACTTGCTTTCACAACAGCTTCACTTTGTGGTTTTGCTCTGATGACAAACGTCTGCTGAAATGTTAGATTCTACTTCCTGTAGTTTCTGCGTTTAGGTTTTTCAGCTTATCCTGACGTTTTGTCTCGTAGTGCCGTCTTAAACTAAATTCCTTAACTACAGCCACATTAGCTCCACTAATAAGACGCACGGCTTTACCAGCATGTCTGTAAACATATATTCAGCCTCCCACTGGTGCTGAAAGGCTCTGCTTTCAGAATCAACTTTTCTCTCCACCATTGTAAGCGGCTAGCTTCGCAATAACAGATGTTTGACTTGATTACACGGGAATGTTCTCCGTTAGCCTAGGTTCAGCAAGGAGGCTGCAGCGCTGCATTATGGGATCTGTAGTTTGTATATTATTAGCGCCTCATATCGCCGGGCCATGCATAACAATAATAGTACATCTGTATAAAATGATCTCGCGGGCCGGATATAAATGTACGCCGGGCCGGATGTGGCCCGCGGGCCTTGACTTTGACACGTGCTCTAGAACAATTTTCTCAGGTAGGGAAATGAAGCAGCATCCGCAGACAGTCAGCAAGGCAGCTGCAGCAGAGACTAGTGGAATTTGCCAAAGTGAGGACGCAATCCCAAACATCATCTGACATAGAGAGATCCAACTCTTTTCTCCATGTGGATTTGAGGCCCTCGGAGAGAGCTGAAGTTGCACTGCATATTTTATTGTAAATGCAGAAGATACCTTTGCCTGATAGTTGCAAACAGTAAATTAGCATCTGGAGCTCTGGAAAGCTGGAGAGGTGGGATTGCAAGAAATGTCTGAGTTGCAAGTATCTAAAAATGTTAGTTTTGGGAAGAGCGTATTCTGCAGACATCAGCTCAAATGTTGCTTGTTTGTTGTGTATAATGAGATCTTTAAAGTAGATAATACCTGCTCTAAACCAATATATATAAACTTAGAAAGAATGTTCATTTTAATGGAATTAATTCGACTGACCAGAGTTGTGTTCAAGATTGACCACTGTAGTAAGCTGTTGGGAAGACCCTTTCCAGCCTATAGGCCGGCATGTTAGCTAAAATTTTGAAGTCAGCGATCAGGAGTAATTTGGCCTGTATGACGCACACTCTCCTGGATCCTTCCCCTTTTTAGAAATTCAAGTTATAGATGCATGGTACCAGGAAGTTGGCAAAGTGCCCTGTATGAACGACTCTGATAAATCTGAATGGAGTAAAGGTACGAGTAGGAGGTTCAGAGGTATAAATCTTCAGATAGTATTCCCTGAACATGTCATTAATTTTTTTTATGGTCAGTAACAAGCCCATCATCCGAGTTAATAGCAGTTATACATTGGCACGGCTTTAGATGCCTTATTTGGTTAGCTAAAAGTTTGCTGGATTTTTCCCCATGTACAAAAAATGTGCTCCTACTTTTTAAAAGTTGCCTCTCAGCGATATGAGTTGAAAGAAGTTCAAATTTAGTTTCAAGTTCAGTACATTTCCTGTAAACCTCAAGATCCTTAATGTGTGCATACTGATGATCCAAATCTTTTATTTTATCAGCCAAAATTTCTTTTAACTTTTCCCTCTTCATGTTAGCTGTATATGAAATGATCTGTCCTCAGAGGTAGGCTTTCATAAAGTCCCAAACTAAAGAGCTGTAAACATTTGGGGAGATGTTTGTTTCTAAAAAAAAAAAAAAAAAAAAAGAACAAGTTAATTGGTTGTTCATAAATTCCAGAAAGGTATCATCTGACAGCAATGTTGAATTAAAATGCCAACTCCATTCTGATAAGTTGAGTAAGGCAGGTATAGACAGGGTCAACATTAAGGGGGCGTGATCTGATATTACTATGGCAAAGTATTCGCAGGCACTCATAAAACTAGTTAAATAATTATCCAAGAAAAAATATCATCCTAAAATTAGAAAAGGTGTGATGCACATTAGAGAACAAGGAATACTCACTATCAGTCCATCAGTCACATCAAGATTTTGCCATATATCTTTAACAACGTATGTAGAGAAGAAATAGTGAATGTGCAAGACTGATTTACTCAGACAGGTCAGTTTTAACGAGGCTCAGTCCAAAACAGGGTCTAACCAGCAACTGAGGTCCCTGAGTATCAAAGAGGTGTTCGAAAAACTTGTGATCATCAATGTTAGGAGCGTATACATTAACTAAAACTATCTGTATGTTATATAATCTCACTGAAACAATAACAAAACAACCTACCGATCTGAAACCTTGTTGCTGATGAGAATGGATACTCTTCTAGCCTTGGCCTCAAAACATGAATGGAACTACCAAGCTGTAAATTACCTGAACCTCTGACATGAGTTTCATGTTAAAAGGCAACAGAAGCATCGTCTTGCTTTATTTGTGCAAAATAATGATTGATTTGAATGATTTAATCCCTTAACATTCTGGGCAAATCTAAGGCACTGATCATACACGATGGTAATCTTGTATAAAGATTAAAATAAAGAAGGAATGCAAAAACAGAGTTTGTCATACAAGTGAAAAGAGGAATGAAAGAAGCCCAGTACAGAACATAGGATAACACCCTATGTGGATATGAGTTCTGTGGTGGAAAAAAGGCTTTCCAACAACACAAACCCCCTGATCCCTCCTGCTTCACCCCAATCACTGGACACCTACTGAAGAACGCAGCAGCAGCTCACCCATACAACATTTGTTCCTCCAAGAAAAAAACAACTTCCAGGTCAAAACTACTAACTTGGCTCTCACCCCGATGTGAAGTATGCACTGAAGCATTACTCAAAGATGTGGAGAAACCTTGCAAAGAAAAGTGACCAACAGCGCACTCTATTGGCATAAGCAGCTCAGTAAAGAAGAATGCATGAAAAATAAATAAATTAATGAATTAATTAATTTATTAATTACAAAAAAGACTAAAAACAAATAAAATAACATAAGAAATAGTAATAAAAATTAATAAATGAATAAATTAACTAAGTAGAAATGATCTACATGCCGGCAGTTGAGAACTCCCCTTCAGCACGCCTCCCTGATGATGAGCTCTTTCGTCTGAAACCTGTGAAGGCAGAGAATCACTGGTCATGGTCGGTCCGCCGCTTTTGGAAGAAGCTACAAAACTTTAAGGCTGACACTAGATTCTAGATCGCTGGATACTAGCTTCAAAGATTGGACAAATAAAGGATTACTTTATGTATGGTAATGGAGGAAGGTAGATTACTTAGTTTTGAAAAGATTAAAGAAAAATATTCATTAGGAACAGGATTTTCATAGATACCTACAGATGAGGCATTTTGTCAGCAAAAGGATAAAATCTAAGGCTGAATTAAGCAAACAGCTGTTGGACTTATTTGAAAGGATCTCTATCTTTATTTGTATAATGGGTTATAAAACATGAAATCACACTTGACCCTATGTATCAAAACAAAATGGGAAATGGAGGGAGGAATAGATATAATGGAGGAAGAGTGGACAACAATATGCACATATCAATGGAAATGTAGCCGCTCACAGAGCTGGAGGGAATTTGGTTGGAAAAGCCTGATAAAATATTTTATTACACCTCACCAAAAATCTCACTATGAAGGTAACCCTCCCGTTTGCTGGAGAAAATGTGGAAACACAAATGCAAATCATTATCATATTTCTGGGACTGTCATGTTATT